AGTAAGTGCTAAATGTGTAAATATTTAATGAGGGAGAGAGAGCACTTAGAGGGCTGCGTCTCCACTGGCCGCTGGCCTCCGGGAGTCCTGCGGCCACAGGCGCCTACTTTGCTCTGGCGGCCCCCAGCGGGCACGAGAGTGCGGCCCCGGGGCCCTCTGAGCACGGGCCTCCCCCAGGGGGCACGAGGGTGCGGCCCCGGGGCCCTCTGAGCACGGCCTCCCCCAGCGGGACCCCACCACTGACTGGTGCGCGCACCACCCCCGCTCAGCCAGGCCGGAGAGGTGCCGCGGCCCACCGGGCTCCTGAGGCTACGTTCCCACCCAAGTGGGGGTACATGGCTCCTCGGGAGACGGGCTGTCTGGAAGCTGCAGCCTCAGCTTGCCACTCATCAGCTGACCCGCCCCAGCCAGGCTCCTGAATGCTGGAGCCCCGGTTTCCTCGTGGGGAAACCAGAATGGGGATGCAAACATCAGCGCTCATTGTTCGATGACTTAAAAGAAAATGTGAGCGCGAAGCCTGGCATCCAGCAGCTGCTCCAAAACGCTGCCTGCTTTCCCCTTAGCGACACCGGGGACGGACTGGAATCTACAGAGCCAGAACCCGCGCAGAACCATTCCCCGCTCTCCCGTGGGCACTGCCGCCGTCTCAGAGTCTGCGGCGCTTTAGAAACCAGCAAATACGGGGGATTCACTCAAAAAGGCAAAGTCAGGCAAGGTCCCGGGGTCCCACAGTGACGGGCCCGCTGCTCAGAACCTGCCCTCGAGGGCCCGCGGAGTCAGCATGAGGGGCCCTTAGGCCCGCCCGGCCCTCCTACGCGGGTGAGAGGTGCCGGCATTCTCCACAGCAAGGGTTCACGGAAAACGCTTAACCCCCCATTAACCTGGAGCCCACGTAGGCACACTGCGACTTCCTCAAGCCTCTTGTCATGCAGGGTTCCACTAATTGGCCAAGGAGATGTGCCGTCAGCCCGACAGCTCGCCCGTGCCAGAACGTGATGGCTCGAAGGGGTGAAGGTGACACCCAGACGTCACCATCACCCCACTGCCGAGAAGACGGAGATATCTCGGGGGCTCAGCAGATGGGCTGGGCGTTGGCCACGGCCGAGGGCAGACAGAGAAATGCTCTTGCCAGGTGTTCAAGCCGGCCCTGCAGGGTGGGCGGTCAGCACATGACAGCTGCCGCAGAGGTGTGGCCTGCCCAACCCCACGCCGGGTGCCGGGGGCCCCACGCCGGGTGCCGGGGGCCCCACGCCCTCCTGGTCAGGGCGCCGGGCCTGTCCTTCTCCGCACCAGCTCCGGGTGACAGGGACATGCGGAGAGTCTGTAACAGAGGCTTGTCCTGAGCCGCCCCCGGGGTGGGGGGGGAGGAGAGCATCTGGCAAAAGAAAAAGCAGACCCCCCGAAGGCTCCCCAACCAGAGCCTTACCACCTCGCGAGAGACTCGGCCGCAGGAGAGGGGACCCCAAAAATCAGGCCACAGGGACAGGGTCAGGAAGCAGCGAGGGCTCGGATCCTAACTTCACCACTTAGAGCCCCATGGCCTGGGCCAGACGCCTCGCCTTGCCGGGGCTGCGGACGGGCATCAAAGCAGTGCAGAGCACGAGGGGCCGCTGTCTTCCGGGGGAGAAGGGAGTGGGGGGGCGGGGGGTGACGGTTCACATCACTCATTCACATCGCTGTTGCCACAGTCAGTGGAGATGAGGCCGAGGAAGAAGCAGGAGTTGGCCTGGACCCCTCACAAGTGTTAGTATCTCACACACACGATCTAGAGCTGTTCTAGATCCAGAGAGATGCGACGTGACAGCTAAGAGCCCAGTAATCCAGACTGGCCTGCGCCGGAGGAGGCACACCACGGGGCGTGAGGGGTCCACGCCCTCCAAGCACGCTGGCTCCGGAGACCACAGGGGCTGGGCTGGGAGGAGGCGCCCGGTTCTTAGCAGACACATGTGCCACCTTCGGAGGACGCGTCCTGCCCGCCCTCAACGGGTAAAGCCACAAACGCGTGCCCGGAGAGGACAAGTGAGCTGGACGTAGCGCCTCCGTGCTAACTGCCATTAACAAAGGGGACAGGATCCTTTGCAATTCCCAGGGACTGAAATTTCTGCAACTATTAACCTGCCCCGGCCCTCCCAGCACCTGCCCCAGCCCTCCCCCGCCCGCAGCACCTGCCCCGGCCCTCCCCGGCCTGCAGCACCTGCCCAGGCCCTCCCCGGCCTGCAGCACCTGCCCCGGCCCTCACCTGCAGGCAGTGCCCCGGCGGCCCCCCACCTGCAGCACCTGCCCCGGCCCTCCCCCTGCTGCAGCGCCGCCCTGGCCCTCACCTGGCTGCAGCACCCTGATCTCCAGCAGGTTGGAGGTGCGCTCGGCCAGCCGCTCCCAGCTGCTGTCGTAGTTCCTGCGCCACAGCCCGGCCAGGCACTGGTACTTGCCCGCCTCCGTGTCGCTGGCTCGGCTGATGCTCAGGCGGACGTTGTTGCTGGACTCCGCCTTCTCGATGGCCGTCCGTGTTCGGAAGCTGGAGGACTTGTCCCCCCACTGGACCCCTCCGTCCCGGGTGAACGTCACCAGGTCGTGGAACTCGGTGGTGCCCACCGGCTGGAAGCGCCACGTCACGGACACGGGGACCCGGGATGGGTAGTGAGGCTTGAGGATGCACTGCAGGTCGAAGGAGTCGCTGTAGGTCACCCCCGGCGTCCGGGAGATGGCCGTGACCGCAAAGCCCGTTTCTGGAGGGAGGGAGAGGAGAGACTCAGCCGGAGCGGACCCCGGGGTCCTCGGGGCAGGCAGGTGAGGGGTTCTGCTGGGAGCGAGTGGGCAGCCTGGCGGCTCTGTCTGTCGCCGCCCAGCCCAAACTGCTCTCCTTCATCTGTCGAGGCTCCGACCCGACCACACACAGGCCTTGGACCCAGACCGCCACCGTCCTGGAGCGGGGCCCGCATGCAGGTCAGAGCTCACGGGACCCTCTCTGCAGCGAGACCCGGCGGCTGGGCCCGTCCTCAGTCTCGGCACCCCACGAGGGTGGGAGCACAGCACCTGGGGTCTGGCCTTGCACCGGGTGCCCTGGCCCAGCAAAGGGAGGGAGACAGCTTCTCTGAGCTTCTCTGCCTGGGGAGGCACCTGACGGGTCACGGTGCACAGAGGACCCAGGTCTCCCTCGCTGCGTGGTCGTGATGGCCCAGTGCGGCCGAGGGGCACACCTGCCTGCATCTCACCCGGGCACCTGCCGCCATCAGGTGGGGCCCGTACCCCTCTGCACCAGTGTGACGACGCGTGCATGTACTTTACGACTGAAAGGCCATCTTTCTGCAGGAGACTTCTTGCTCTTCCACCCCCTTGGGCTTTAGGCGGAGGCCCCCCAGGGTGAGAACAGGTGGGTGGGGTGACCAGACATACGGTGAGCACGCAGACCTTCGGGGCGAACCTGAACCATCCGAGTGCTTCTAGAGGAACAGCTCTGACCACCTCGAGCCACTCCTCCACCCTGCTGACCGTGCAGGGTGAGGTAGGACAAGCACCGTCCACCAGGACTCTCTGCACGGCTCTACCGCCACAGAGCACAGGTACAGGGGTCGGGCTCGTCAGGAAACTCAACTGGACGGAGCTTCTAGAGGCAGGAAACCGATCTAAATCGGTGGTCGCTGCTTAAAGCAGGCTGGTCCAACTTTGGGACTAAACTCTTTGGAGTGTACTTCCCATCTCTGAGGCGAGGGGGCGATGGAGGCCTTGAGGGCTCAGCCACTGGAGTGGCGCCATCTTGCCTGGGGATGTCCAAGAGCACCCCCAGGCTGGCTGAGGACCAGCACGGTCTCCTGACCCACAGGGGGACCTGACATGACAAGCTACCTCCCCAGCAAAGTAGCAGACTGGCCTTTTAAAATCCAATATACTGATTATATTAGGGAGCTAAAAGTTGATAAAAGCCTTTTTAACGACCCCGTGAGCAGCCAATCTAGTACTCTGTTCTTAGCAAATCTCAAGGTATCATTTAATTTCACGGTAATAAGGAAATGGCCTTACAGAGCAGTAGATAAAAACACAGACTCGGAAATAAAATTAAGACCGCCTGCTGGTTCCCTGGGTTCAGAGTGCAGGTTTGTCATTGAAAAGCTGGAGCCCTGGGCGAATCTGTTAACCTGCCGGTGTCCTGGTAGGAGAAGAGCCCACCGGGTGGCCACGTAAGGACTCGGATGGACAGTCAAGCGTCAGGTATTTTCCCTCAGCAGGCGCGTGGTTAATGATGAAGTCGAAAGGTGATCACTACCCCGCTCTGAACGTTTTGGGGGACTGAGCCCCTCGGCAGGAGGGACAGCTTCTGCTCCTGCTCTTTCAGGGGCGTGTCGGGCGGGGCCGTGCTCTCTGCCTGGACCCCCTCTCCTGCCTTGCTCCCCCGGTCAGGACACAGCGACTACTCGGTGACTGTCACAGGGATGCCAAACAGCCCCCACCGGGGCCCGTCCCCGGGGGCCCGGTGCATGCCGGGCCACCCCGTCCACACCCTCTGTCCTGCCCCACACCGATGACCAAGAGAAGTCACGGCGAGGTTCCCGACGTGGACAGGTCTCCGCGGAGGCCCCACCGGGCGACGCCAGACGCTCACTCACCGAGAGCCGTGATGGAGACGGGGGTGCTGGCCCGGCGCTCCCCCACAATCTGCCACTCGCCGTCCACGGCGCGCACCCACTCGGCCACGTGGCACTCGTACTGGCCCTCGTCCTCCTTCCTGCTGTTGAAGAGGCCCAGGCTGAAGGAGCTGGGCCGCACCTGCTCCATCTGCACGCCCCCGAAGCTGCTGCGCTCCCAGTAGGCCGCGCCTGCCTGCACCGTGCCGTCCCGGTCCAGCCACATGATGTTGCTGCGGCGGTTCTGCCTGTCCAGCAGCTGCCAGATGACGGAGAAGCGGCCCTGCGGCCGGCCCGCCGTGCGGACGCTGCAGGAGAAGTGCAGGTTCTCGCCCTCCAGGACGACGCTGGCATTGCTGGCCACCTCCACGGACAGGCTGCTCTCTGGGGAGAGGGAGAGGGCGCCACGCTGGGCATCTGGGCCTCCCGGCCTCCCCGCGGGCGAGAGAGGAGGAGGCGCACATGTCACCGTTGGGGTGCTGTGGACCTCGGAGGGTCGCTCACCGGCTGCGAAGCCCGGCTGGCTCGGGGAGCTGCTCCCCGCGATTTTAGCTCTGACAACTAGTGCTTGGGGGGCTCTGGGAACCATGAGCAGGGGTGAGGCAGTGAGGGTCTAAGGCCTGGCACGGAATGAGAACCTCAGAGACGCAGCGCAGCGGCACCTGCTTAGGGCAGGAAGTAACTCTTACGGAACAGCCTGGGGTGAGCTGGGGTGCAAAGATTTTTAGCAGGTTGACCACACTGAAAACTGTGTGGCCTGCATTTTGCCACAGCTCGGTGCTGCTGTGGCCAAGTAACAGCTGAAGGTGGCCATGTCCGTTGAGCCCTTCCGCAGCTACCAGGTCAGGGAAGATGACCGGGGTGCTGGAAGATGCCGTGCGTGACTGTGGACGATGAGGGGCCAGTGGCACGGCGCGGGCGTGGGTGAACAGAGAGAATAAACCACAGCCGCCGCCGGCCAGCGCACGTCCGCCTCCGCCCTCCCCTACTGCCCTTCGGAACTTGGGGTGAGGCCTCCACTGCCCCCCGTCCCGGCCTAGGCTTTGCTAACTCATGAGCCCTGTGAACGGACTGCGCTGAATTCCTCACACCTGCCAGCGGCCTTCTGCAAGCCTGGGGGTGTCACCCACAAGCACACTCTTCTTAGAGATCAGCGGGTAGGCGGGACAATGTCTAGAAATCAGCTAACTCCACAGCAGCCTTCCCAGAAGTGGGCTCCACAGCATGCGTTTTACTAGTCTCAATAAGCCTTTGTCTTGATAAACATCACGGAGTACCCCGATCTACCTTAATGATGATTATATATGATTTGTATAATTATCTGTGCGTTCGCAAAGCCCGTAAGTATTCAGGAGCACAAAACGCCACAGCTAATTTACTTTCAATTTTCTGGGCACCGCCCCCATGACACACAAGCAACACATGTAAGCCGATTGATTTCATCCAAGCCCAGACGGAGAGGCACACCCAGTGAGTGCGGGAGACTCAGGCCACGACCCTGCACGTGGATCAGTGTTTTCTCCTCTGCTTTTCTCCCACAGGCAGAAACAGGTGAAGGCGAGCATGGAGCCCAGTCCTCCCGTTCGTGAGGACGCCTGTCGCCTGTTCTGAACTGGCTCGTTTCAAGTGAAAAAGTGGCCCGGCCAAGACGGGGCAGAAGGGAGCCCCGGCTCTGCGAGGTGACCCCTGGCTACCACAGCCCGGCCAGCTACCTGCACGGAGCTGAGGCCCGGCCCGGGAGGGCCCAGGTCTGCCACTTCCTGACTCTAAATCGGGGTGTGGCTACTTACCCTACCCACACTCTGATTTCTTGCATGCGAAATGGAGTTGTGTGACACTGGAGTGTTAGGTGAGGTCCTGAGGACATCATCACCATCAACAGGAACAAAACTCCTCTTTAAAGACCCCGCCCACGGCGATCAGCCCAGCGCGGGGCCTCAAAGGGCAACTTCAGCAACAAGGGGAGGAAGTCGAGTCTCTGTTAGCAGGAGACGCGTCACCCCTCCCTCACTGTCACCCCAAAGGGCCTGCGCCAGCCTGGCTCGCTTACGGGGAAGCTGTTGTTGGGCGCTCTGTTGCTCAAGCAAGTCTGGAAAAAACGCACAGTGAGAACACGGATGGCGAGAAAAGCCGACCCGGCAGCCCAGGCGAAGACCCGGCCACAGAGCCCGTCCAGACTTTTATGAGTGTTCCCAGGCCTGGAAAAGGCAGCCAGCTATTAGAACTCTCTGGGTTAAGTGAAAACGGGGGCGGAACGGTGAGCATCTGTCTGAGGGCATGTTCGCAAACGCTTCCAAATCAGGCACGTGGTGACGTACGTAATCAGGCACGTGGTGACGTACGTGGCGCAGGCTAAGCGCGGAGCAGGGTTTGGAGTTAGAAGCAAATCTCTCAAGCCAGTGCAAGCTCAACCACTAAGGGCCGAAGGCTCTGTCCCTTCTGTGTGGTGCTCTGGCCTCTCCGCTCACAGGACGGGTTCGACACTGTCCGCCACCGGAATTTGAGGGGTGGAGCCAAGGCAGAGGATATATGCAGAAGCACTTTGGACTCTCGGGAGGGAAAGCGCCATTAAAATCCACGGTATAATCACCATTACGATGTGATCATTGTTCTCGGTAGACTTACCCAAGTGGCCTTGGGGCAGGATCTGGTGAGGCGGGGGGACTTTAACTACCCAGTTATCTGCTGGAAAAGCAATACAGCAGGCCACAGATCATCAAACAAGTTCGTGGAAGGGGTCGGGGCAATCTCTTAGTACAAACTAATACAGGAAGTAACCAGTGTGGCTGCCCCTTGCCTGGACCGCTACAAAACAATGAGGGGTTAGTTGCAGGTTGAAAAGTAAAGCGTCCGGGGTTAAGGCAAGCACAGACCTAGAGGGAGAGAGAAGCGGGCATTCCATGCAGCGGGATCAGCGCTACAACAGTGAGCAAGCACCTACCTACACAGAGCGCCATGCTAGGCACTGCAGGGGGAACAGCTAAGAAATCAGAGAATCTCAAGGTAATTAGGTGTGTGTGAGTAGTTTGTAAAATGATACGAAAGGCACCGAGAGTATCTCGTTGATAAGAAGAGACAGTGGCAAGACGCCTGGACTGTTTTTTTTTTTTTTTTCCCTTCACGGTCGAAGAGGACTGTATTTAAAAGAAAGTACAAGAGGGAACAAAAATGAAAAGGGCAAGATTACAAGGCTAAGAGGAAGAGCAGCCGGAGCAGTGGAGAGAGGTTAAAGGTTAGTTTAGAACCATCTTGCTTATCGAATCAGGGCACTGTCAGCTTTCATCGTCCTTTCTACTAAAAACGGACCTAGGAGAGAAACAAGCTGTTCATGAACATCCGGGGCGCAGGATGCTCAAACACAGCACACACAAGTGCGCTCCCTGGGTCCCCGGGGGCCTCCGCCACCCAGACCCCGCGGCGTGAGCAGGGTCCGGCTAAGTGGCCCTGGAAATGAGCTCAGCTGTCGGCCTGCGCCCAGGAGGGCGCCCGCCCTCTGACGCTGGGAAGCACAATCTCAGCGGGGACGAGCCCACTCGGGACTTGCCGACTTCTCCACCCTAAAAGCCTGCCGGCGAATCCTCCTTAGGACCGGACTTCAGCATTCCAAATGGCTCCGTGGAAGACCAGCTCTCAAGGAGCTCTCGAGGCAGGGTGGACCCTCCTCCTGAATCCCCCCCAGGGGTGGGCAGCGTCCGGGGCCCCTGGCTTCCTGCCACGCTGAGGGCATTGCATGCAGCCTCTGCAGCCTGGGGGCGCGCCCCCACTGTCTGGGGGTGCTGCTCAGAGTGGGCAGGCAAGCAGGAGGAGAGGAGGAGAGCCAGCTCTGGTGAACCCCGAGATCTACCTGTCCTGCCCCCGCCCCTCCACTGCAGCTCCCCTCCTCTCTCACCTCTCTCAGCTGACGCTGGCTACTGAACCAGACCGGGGGGCGGAGGAGGGGAGGAGGCAGCAGGTGCTCCACTTACTGATGGGGAGGACGGTGATGGGGATGTTCTTGGGGCGCTTGCTCTCCTTGTCCAGGAACTCCCCGGTGACGGTCTTCTCCCGCTCCGTCACCCGGCAGTTGTACTTCCCGCTGTCTTCCTGGCGGAGGTGGTAGATCTTCAGCACGAAGACGCCGTCGCTCTCTTTGGCCACTTTCAGCTGGCCCCGGGCCTCCCGGTGGGCGAACTCGCTGTTGAGCACCGGCACGGCATTGGGCCCCATGCTGGCAATGAGCGAGCTGTTGAAGGCCCAGGAGACGGCAAAGTAGCGGTCAGGGACATTCTGAGCCTCCAGGATGCACCTGAACTCGGCCGGCTCCCCCACCGTGTACAGCCGCTTCTCCGTTTCCAGCCGGACGGTGAACTCCTTGTCTGAGAAGACAGGCCACGGCAGGCGTCACTCGCGGCATCGAAGGCGCCGGTTACCCCAACCACATCAGCACACTGCCACCCACATCCTGTGCCCTTCCTGCCGATGCTGGTTACCTGCCCAAGGCGCCAGGGTCTGAGGCCCCAGGGGAACTGCCGACGCTCGGAGAGAAAGGCCGCTACTGCACCGGGCAGTCTGAGTGTCCCGTCCAGTCCCCGTCTTACACACAGGGCCGGTCTGCTGTTGGCAAGGCCCGGCAGACCCTGGATTGGCCCGGAACTGCTCTGTATAGGCGACCAGGACCAAGGCCGAGCCTTGGCATACACGGCCCAGAACTGCGCCCGAGCGGCCGGCTCACAGGCACTGTCAGCGACGCTGCAGGACTTAGCCCTAAGGTGTGTGGGGCAAAATCGCAGGCTGGCCGAGGCACTGGCCCAACCCTAATAAGTGAACTGAAGAATGAACTGAAGGACTGCACCCACTTCCCCGCAGTCACTGGGGTCGGAGCCCCGGGGAGACAGCGCCGGCCCACACGGCGCGGGCACTGGGTCCACTCACTGGAGCCACCTGCTGTTCTAGCCGTGGAGCGTGGAAGTGCCTCATCCCGCTGCAAGCCGGGGGCTCTGACATGTCAGGAACCCCAACGCCCCTCCAAGAGCAGGGTGGTCACTCCAGCACAAAGGGGTGGCAGAAGAGGGCCCAGGGGCGCGTGGTCAGCGAGGGCGCCTGTCCCCAGGGGATGGGCGCGCTGGCTGTGAGGTCCACGGCCCGATCACTCAGGGACACACAGCAGCAGATCACTCAGGGACCGTGGGAAACTGTTCTCTGCTGAGCTTGCAGCTGTGGGTAGAGCTGCTGCCCAAGTCCCTCCTCCTCCTGGTTCCAGCTCCTCTAAAGAGAAGGCAGGGGAATCCCCCTCCTGCTCTTGTTTTTTAAGACTTATTTCTGCATACAGAACTCGGGTACAGGCCAGAGGTGCAGGGGCGGTGAGAGGCTTCACCAGAGACAGAGCGGGGAGCAGAACAGGCAGATGGATGAAGTCCACTGCTGAGGGAGCAGCAGGAGAGGTCAGCCGCGCCCTGTGGTCACCTCTGGGGTGGGGATGGAACTCGCACTGAGGCGGCTGCAGCCGGCTTGCAGTGCTGCGTCCTGACCCGTTGCGCCATCAGGGAGGGCCCCTCCCTCCTGTTCTGAATTCTGGGAGATTTACCAGCTGCACCCCCGCGCCTCCCTGCGCTGGCATTTCCACACCTTCCCCACACCCGTGAGGCTCCTGCCCACCGCCACGGGGCTTCGTCCACGCTGCTGTTCCCCCAAGCTGGGCTCTGCAGCAGCTCGCCCGTCAAGCTCTCTGGCTCCTCTCTCCCACCTGGTCCGGTGTCACCCCAAATGCCCATTTTCTCCCAGGGATTAGCTCCTTCCCCGTCTGCCCCAACTTCTCAACAACCTACACTAATCGCCAACGCGACAGCTACAGCCTCAGTCTCCTCCCAAGACACAGGGCTGGACACAGGCAGGCGTGAGCGCCACAGGGGGGCGGGGCCCTGGCACAGGCCAGGCGCCGGCCGCCCACAGTAAGCACTGGCGCAGCACCAGCGCAAACCGAGCTCTCCCGCCGCACAGATGGCTCCAGGGGTGCACCTGCACCCCCTCGGGTAAGCAGGTTCCAACCGGGGCTGTCTCCTTTTGGCAGCCAGATTCTCCTTATTTCTTGATCCGTGAAGGCGCCACCCACCATGGCCAAGTGAAGCCTTCTCTTCCCAGGCTGAAGAAGACACAGATTTACAGTGAACCATCAAGCTCAAAGCAATATGCCCTTGGTCAGGCCCAGTCAATTAAAGCTGTAGAAACTGATTTATGCTTTTCCCAGCCCCTCGCTCCTCCGCTCACTGAGATGCGGCTTCTGGCCCTTCTCCCACACTTCACTGACCTAGCAAATGTCCCCCGTGGCCCCTCCACGACCCAGGCTCCGCTCAAGTAGGTTTCAGCCTCCGGTCCGCTCTCCCCGCGTCCCACAGGTCCCACCTGACCGCCCCGTCTCTGTCATCGGGTCTGCACCTGTGACCCCCTCCTGCTGCTGCTGTTCTGCTGGCCCTTCCCTAGCTGTGTCCAGGGGTTTCCCCTGGCCTGCCCAAGCTCAGCTTCTGTCCAGGCTCCGAGACTGAGCACACGCTGAGTGTCCACATACGGAGTCCCTGCAAGAGACTGCGTGCACGAGGGGAGACTGCGTGCCCGAGGGGCGCCACCAAAATGGGCAAACCCAGCCAGAGCTGCCCAGGGGAGCGGACTTCCAGGAAGCCACAGTCCCAGGCCCCTCCCCTCCCCCGCTCTATGCAAGGAGCCCATGGGGGGGTGGGGGGGGGTTCAGCCAGCTGGACTCCCCCACAGGGCTCATCCTCCAGGCCGCTGCCCGCTGTCCACGCACGGCCTCTGGCCATCCGCCTTTATCAGCTCTTCCCTACCCTGTCCCACTTCAGGCCCAGGCTGCTCAGCCAACCCGAGGTGGCCTCCGAGACCCACATCTGGGTGTGGCGCCTCCTGCCTTTACCTGAAGGGGCAGAGGAGGGAACTTCCTTCCTTCACACAAGACAACACGCCTGACGTGGACAACATCTGGCTGAATCAAGGGGGGCAAGGATGCCCCCCACGCCTTCCTCCAGCATCCCACGTGCACACCCCCTGGGTAGCCTCTCAGGCACCCCACTGGGACCCCCAAGGTTCTAAGTCAGGCCGAGGCCCACCCCGCACAGCACGCGGGCCTCAGCCCCCTCCCCTCACACCTGACCCCGCCCTGCTGGCCATACACCAAGCCATTGTGCCTTTATGTTTCCTGCTCCCCCTTAAGCTTCAAGACTGAGCTCACCTCACCAAAGCTATGGATCGTCCTAGATTTGCCCCAACATCTGTCCCTCCCAGGCAAAGTGTTCTTGTCAGGGCAAGAACACTTTGCATCCGCCGTGTCCAGAGCACGCCACACTCGTGCGGTTAACACCCCCCCACAAGCTCCCAGAGATGGGGGTCAGGTGCCACTGTCTCTGGCTCCCCGGCGCCAGGCCCAGACCTCTCCCGCCCTGCACGCTGACGCTCACTGAAAAGAACTAAGAAAAAGGGCGACACTGGGGACCAGTGGCAGGAGGCCAGTCGCCAGCTAGCTTAGCCTGGGCACACTCCGCAAAGCCAACAAGCCTCACCCCAAACTGCTGAGATCAAAATAAAGATGAAACGACGCAACCAGATTTCAAGGACTCAACACTGGGCCCACCTCTCCAAGCTGAGCTTTGCCCATGTAGGCAGAGAAAGGATCCGTTTGACACCAAGTTCCTTCCGCAGACTTGAGGCTGGACGAGCCAGGTGTGGGTGGGTGCTACAGAGGCCGCCTGCCGCGAGCCGCTCTCACGGCCCGCAGGTGAGAAGCAGGTCTCCGGGTCGCCTGCAGGGCTGAGGGCACGTGCAGTGGGAGAGCGCCCAGAAAGTGGGCGAAGATCCCACCCAGCAGATCCCACCCAGCCGGAGCCCGCTGCAGGATGCGGGGGATGGAGCCTGAGGTCAGGCCAGGGCCATGCACTGAGCCTCAGGGGCAACTCAGCAGCAGGACCGGGGCGGGGGGGGGGGGCAGCTGGCACCCCGCCACCCAGCTGGCAGCTCCCCTCTGCAGGGGGCTGCACCGGGGGCCCAGAGCGCCCGGTGGGAGGTCGGGCAGACCCGGAGAGTCGTCGGGCGGGAATTCAGCTCGTGGGGACGCCAGCACCGAGGCTGAGCCCTCACGTGCCACTTGGCCTTCCAGGGAACCCCCCTTCCAGGCCTTCACATGTGGGTGGAAGCTGGAATTCTCAGGGGTGTCGTCATAAGGCAACCCAAACTCGGCACCTCCTTCTGGCTTTGCTTCAACACACCTAGCTTCACTTCCGACTGGTCTTCACGCAAGAAATAGTTCTTGGAACTCAGTTCCTGGAACTCTGATGTCCACATTTCTGCGCAACTTCCTCATTTTCTCCCTTCAGCCACAACTCCCACATAACTCCTGTCAGTACAGGACAGGGAACTCTGAGGTTAGGGAGCAGCGCACAGACATCCCAGTAGTGCAGAAACACTACGAACTTCCTCTAGCTCCTAATTTCATACCAGATGGTAATCTCATAACCTGAAAGTCTTCTACAAACGAAACAGGGTTGGGAGAAAGTAACACTCCAGCTAGTGGGGCGCAGCAACATCAGACACTCGAGGTCTATGTCCACTCTCCCGTTTTTAATTTTCTTAAAGATTTATTTATTGATGCATATAGAACTGGGGTACAGGCCAGAGGTGCAGGGGGTGAGAGGAATCACCGGACGCAGAGTGGGGAGCAGAACAGGCAGAGGGAATGAAGCACACTGCTGAGGGGAGCAGCGGGCGGGTCAGGAGAGGTCTGCCGCGCCTGGCCGGGGAACAAATCCACACGTAGCAGCTGCAGGGAGCGCCAGAGGGCTACGCTTCAGCCGTTCGCCACCAGGGAGGGCCCTCTCCGGGCTTTTAAAGAGAATTTCTAATTGAAGAACATCGTGGCCCTCCCTGGTGGGGCAAGGTGTTAAGTCAGCACTACGAAGCTACCACAGCCACTGCAGCATAAGCTCGATCCCCGGCCAGGGAGGGGCCCACAGGGCGCAGCAGACCCCTCCTGTCTCCCCGCTGCTCCCCTCAGCACTGGATTTCAGTGGATCTGATGCTTCTGCTCCCCACTCTGTCTCTGGTGAATCCTCTCACCACCTGCACCCCAGCTCTTGTGTGCATAAATAAATCTTTTTTGAAAAATCTTGAACTCCACGAAGGCCAAAGAAAGCATGTTTGTGAACAGGCTCTGGGGCCCCTCTCTGCCCCCACAAGGCCAGGTCCGCAGACCCGGGGCCGCAGCATCCTGAGCAGGCCAGTGCTGCCTCCGCGGCCTTGACAGCTCCGGGAAACTGCGACGGGAAGCAGAAACGACTCATCACAAACCCGATGTGGCCCAGCTGACAGGACACTAAGCGCCTACGGCCCATTTCTGATCTCTGAAGACATCACCAACCTTCTAGATACAGACCCCAGACACTTCTCATAGAAAATAATACCGTCTGTCCGCCCGTCCGCCCATCCATCCATCCATCCGCTCTCCAACTTGCTTATTCCACTTCGGGGAGCCCCCCCACGCCCTCACCCTGACAGGGTGCCCTCCCATCTCTGCATGCATCACACACTCCACACTCATGCTGGGACAACTGAGTCACTGCCACGTGCACACCCCACTGTGGGCAGTGGGAGGACACCGGAGAGCCCAGCGTGAACCCACGCACGCCCGGGGGCCAGCTCCTCACGGATAGGGCAGGGCAGCGACACACGGACACACGTGCTCACGAAACACCCCAGTCCCCCTGGATTCAGTGGTCACGGCGGGGTCTGGCCACGCTCCCGGGGCCCCTCACGGCCAGGGAAGAACGGGGACAAGAGACTGACCGGTGGGCTGGACGCTGACCACGGTGCCCTCGGAGCGCTTCCGGGTCATGGCGTACCACGAGCCGTCCGGGTCCTGGATCCACTCGGCAGCCTCGCAGTAGAACTCGCCCTGGTCGGAGGGCTGCAGGTGGAAGAGGGTGAGGCGGAAGACGGTGGCGCCCAGCTTGTCCAGCCGCACCTCCCCCAGGCTCTGCCGCTGGGCGTATTCGCTGCTGGAGCGGAGCACGAAGTCGCGGCTCAGGGAGATGACCTCCACCGGCTCCTCGCTGCCCTTCTGCCTGAGCCAGGCCACAGACAGGTGGCTGTGCTGGACGGTGTCCGCGGCCACCTCGCAGGTGAGCGCCAGCGGGTCCTGCTCCACCTTGTGCAGAGTCTGGGGCACGGCGGTGGCCTGCAGGGAGTCAGGGATCACTGCAACACAGAGCACCCTGGCGTCACAGACCGGTCACGGCATCTCCCGGGAGTCCCTACCTGCCCCCCCACCCCGGAGAGCCCCCCCGGGGCACCCCAAAGGGCACAGACACAGAAGGCTTTGTTGGACCTCTGCCACCCACCCTCACTGGCCTGTATTTGGGTAACACTCAGATGAAAGGGGTGAGATTTCATTTTACGTAATCAACAAACTTCCTGCAAACACCAGGTAGGAAGGAATTAAGTTTCAGGTCAAACAGGAGCTTGTCCCTTTGGGTTTCGCTTCAAAGTACTTGTACTTCACTTCTGACTATCTTCAAACAGAAAGCAGTTCCTGGACCTGGAGTTTTAATTTCGACACATCCCACTCGCTTCCGCCTCTCCGGCCCATGTGGGCAATGCACTGCCCTAGGGAGGCTATTTTGGGGGTGGGGGGAGATTTGGGTAGAGAGAAACATCATTCTCCGTTTTTAAACAGGCTTAATTTCCCGGTAACTCAAGCGTCCCGGCGTCCATGCTGAAGAAGTCACCGCGTGAGGGCGACTCAGGCCAAGGAGCCCCCCCTGGGGTCCTGGGTCAGCCGCTGACGGTGGGGACGGAGCGGGGGCCCAGAGGTGCGCTCTTGCTGCACTGGCCTGGAGAGGGCCTCGAGGCCTCCGGGTGGGGCGCACACTCGGCAGGAAAGGAGAAAGGTCGTTCGGCCACGCAGGGCCACCGCGTGCACCGTGCAGAAGGCCGGCAGCACCAGGCTGGGCAGCTGTGCGCGCCTCAGTGGGCGACAGAAGCAGGGACAGGACTCGGGTGCGAGACGCCGCAGCGTGATGCTCCGGCCCTTCACACCAGCAAACGGGCGGCCTGCGTGTCCACATCGAAACCTCCCCTCTCCTGAGCGTCCCCATCCCCTGGGGAGCACTGGGCCGCCCCCCCAAACCCCCAGCACCTGCAGGCTCCCTTTCCTATGGTGGCCAGCCGGCGAGGCCCAGGGGCCCCTGCTGGGGCTGAGCAAGGTCCTGTCCAGGGACCAGCTCTCGGGGTCAGCGCCCGCAGAAGCCACCTGTCCGCCACCGCCAGGCTCTCTCCCCCTGATGTTAGGCCTCGCGGGCCAGCGTCCGCTGGCAGGTTCCGACGCCCTTCGCCACCCACAGGGTCCTTAAGCGTCTTTGAAATTCTTAGCACCTGCCCTAGCGCTTTGTCAAGGTTTCGGCCTCAGCCTTCAGGATGCAAACCTGGCTCCCCTGCGCCCCCGCTGACCTCCAGCTTGTCCAGCAGGTAGTTCTGCGTGAGTGTGTTTGAGTCAAAGCTGCAACTGGAGCTGGGGCCCTCGGGCGGTGATCGGGCCCTGGGGTGCAGCGTTCACGAGTGTGGCTTGTGCCCTGTGAAGGACCCCAGAGCCCCTCCTGTCCACTTCCCGCCACGCGAGGACACAGGCACAGCCCTCAGCCCACCGCCCCCCAGCCTGCAGGCCACCCGCGGTGGACACCTGCTGAGATACGGTCTGCACCCTGCCCGGCAGCCCCGGGGACGCCGTGGCCGGCAGGAGCAGCCACGGGGGCGGGGGGGAGGGGGCGGTCTCCTTACCCACTAGGTTCGTCTTGGCGCTGTAACTCCCAAAGTAGCGCTCGTCGGTGTTGGGCGTGTGGCACTCATACTCGCCGGCGTCGCGGGCCTGCAGGTCGGTGACGTGCAACAGCACCGAGTGGCCCTGCACTCTCTCCACGTAGATCTTGCCTCCACGCACGCGCTGTGTGTAGATGGCGTAAGGGAAGGCAGAATCCATGGTGCTCACGATCTGCACCTCGCGCTCCGGGGCGGACGGCAGGTAGATGGACCACTGGAAGTTCTGCTCGGCGGGGCCCTGGAAGCCGCTCACGTTGCACCAGATGGTGATGTGGGAGCCCTCCGTGCGGTACAGGGGCCCCTCCTGGACGGCCACCTGGCGCTGCGCGGACACCGCACCTGCAGGGACACGCGGGTCACTCGCGGCTGGCCAGATGCAGAACAGACGGGGAGTGGCAGAGGGTTTGTTGTCTGGGGGGCAGGACACCGCAGCAGCAGCTGCCTGGCCCTTGCTGAGGGCTCCGTGATTTATAAATAGTAATTAAAACGCTCTGGAAAAGCGCTGTCCTGAATGTACCTAGAGGGGAAGAATCTGACCGTGCAAGGATGAGGTTCTGTGACGAGAACCTGGGAATTTCATTTAGTCCCTGTTTATCATTTATGCGGCGGTTTTATAACTATTTATTAAAGCGGGTTATAAGGTTTTTAATAAAACGAGCAGGAAAAGTTGAATCCTTGGCACAAATTCAGAGGGAAGCAAATAAAGCAACCAGCTTGCAAGCTGGTTGGAATTCAATGCTACTTTTGGAGCTAGAGGGCTTGGGGGGGAGTCCGGGGGCTGCACCCCCTTTCAGACAGCTACTCCTGGGACACCCTGAAGACCATGAAAGCGTTCCTTACTTCTCTCCATAAAAGGAGAGCTGAGCCGAGCGGCTGCAGGCTGCTGCAGGCTTAAGCTGAGCACACGGAAACAGGAGTGTGAGGGCTGAAGAGGAGCCCGAGCCCAGATGCCCACGCTCAGGCGGTGGGGACGGACGGCGCACGCCAGCCACACGGGCGTCAGGCGCCGAGGCCCCGGCTGAGTGAGTTGCCCACCAGCCCCTGCCCTCTGGCCCGGCCTGGCCCTCCGGGGCCCCTGCCTGCCTGCCCCATGCACAGAGCACACGCCCCCTTGCAGACTAGGCGCTTCAAGCCAGCACAACGCTGACTGTGCAGGGGGCGGGGGCCCTTTGGCCCACCCCTGGCAAAGCTGGCACGCAGTGTCAGGGGAGCAGGTGACCTCTAGTTGTGCTTTCTCAGGAACTGGAACTGGCTGTGCTCTCTCGAACAAGCTGTTCTCCTTTCTGGACCTTGATCGCTTCATCTAGAAACTGATTTCTAAGAAGGCGCCGGAGGGCTGACCTGGAGCGCCAGTGCTGGCTGTCTCCGGTCGGCTGTGGCCCTGGGGAAGTCGCCGAGCCTCGGTTTCTCGCTGTTCTATGACAGGGACACTGAAGCACACCTTCGGCGTTACTGAGGAGACGAAGTAAGGCCGCGCTCACAATCAGCCCCCATAAGGGCAGCTGCTGGCTGCAACGTTCCTTTGTGGCTATAGCCACAAAGAACAGGGTCTTGCCAGGATCGCTCATGGTTATTCCACTGCCCTCCCCCCAGGGCCCCCACAATGCCACCAGCTCCGGGCCACCCACCTCCACCTGCAGCTGCAGCCCACCCCCTCCCGCGGCAGCTCCCTCTCTGCCCCGCCCACGGGAATGGCAGCCGCCCCAAGTGGCCTATCTGAAGTGGATCCAGCTGGGGAACAGCGGGAAAGGCTCAGATGCCAGTGGATGCAGCGCTGGCCCAGCCCAGGGGGTGGGCTCTGGGTCACAGCAGAGCTGATCTAAGCCGCAGGACGACGGACTTTGAAACAGACCCTATAAGGAAAAGCCTGTGGCTGATACATTTATTCGTGCAGAACCTTTTCTCTCAAATTCTACCCTGGAGTGCCACTCTGGCTTCGGCAGAAGCAGAGAGACCGCAAAAATAAGGAAGGGAAAATCAAAAGATGGAAATGGCGTGGGGTCTGACGCTGTCTGGCTGATAGCATCCTGGACCGCGTCACCAGCCGTGAAGAAGACAGCTCGCCGGTATTTTCAGTGTGTACGAATTCAGTATATACTGCTTATGACGATTTGCAACAATATACGCATAGTCATATCGGAATCAAATGTTTGTAGTGCTGAAAGGCAGAACACTTGAAAAACAACTACACGCGGACACCGAGGTCTCTCCTACAGCACAGAGCTCACGACTCCGTCCCCACACCCCTCTGCAAAGAAGGCTTCAGACAGCCCAGGGCCAGCCGGCTCTCAAGGCAGGACTGACTTGGCAGCCCAGGATGCCTGGACCCTCCCGGGGGCTTTCACAATGGCCAGGGCTGGGGCTCCAGTTGTGTGACCTGCCTACAGCTGCCCCTGTAAGATGCCTCTGGCCCTGGGATACCAGCCAGCAGAAGCACAGCTTGCAGAAAATTCCCTCATTGAAGGCACTAGTAGCTCTAAGTCCCTCCCTTCTGCAAAGACTTGTGGATGTGGGTCAAGAAGGTTCCTTGTTCTGCAGCGGATGGGCAGGAGCAAGCAGCAGAGGCCTATCAGATAGTGGCTAGTGTGACGCAGAGCCGAGCTCACCCAGCTGCCTTCTATTTGCAGACCTGACAAAGGCGCTTGATTGGGATCGTGCACACATCTCTCCTGAATGGTAAACAGTGTCAAGTGGCCCGCATGAGCCAGGGCATCGGGGTTAAAGCAACTTGTCCAGGCAGGAAGCAGGTTATGAACAGCCCGAACAAATAAATAAACACTGGATTGTACTTTAACCGCACACATTCAGCTGTTCCTGTTTTAAATATCTCCTTAATTCCCTACCCACCCAAAGAACTTTGGCCTTGGCAAGGGACGCTGCTTTGAAGAAGTAGATCTTAACACAGAAGTAAAACTTACCTTTCCTCTCAGAACGCTGTATTTGCCCCCACATCCCGCCCTGTCCCCCTCTTCCTGGTGGCACATAGGCTGTGCGGCTCCTCGGAGAGACTACAGACCCAGGACCACCCCGGCCAAGGCCCCCCTGACCCCTCTGGCCCGTCCATCTCCCCTACCTATAACAGCAGTTCCTCCAGGGCAGTGATCGCTTTACTATGAAATAACTTGTAGACATTCCTGTACTCTTTGAATTACTCTGCGATAAGCAAATATCACTTCTGTAATTGAAAAGGTCAAGTCCTATTTCTACCTGTATAAAAAGAACTAGACACTTAAGGCAGAGAGAGTAGAAGGCGAGAGGAAGAACAGGGTGGCAAACGGAACACCCCTCTGAGCAGGGCAGATGGCCACCTGCCTGGGGCGATCATCATTTGGCCGACACTCGGGACCAAGTCAAGGGTCTCGAGGCATGAATTAAAAAATAGATTGTCAGATCAAAAAAGATAAACTCATGCCTTTTGCAGCAACATGGATGGAGCTGGAAGGGATCCTGCCTAGTGAAATAAGCCAGCAAGAAAAGGAAAAATACCAGATGGTTTCACTCATAGCAGGAGAATAAAGGACAAAGGGGAAAAAATAATAATAAACAACTATATACCAGAGAGATTTTACACAGGGGCGGAGTGGGGAATGGGGTCAAAAATTGGAGAGGGGGGGAGGGTGACTGGACTATGGTGATGTCACACGGTGAATTGGTGGTGGGAAACCCACAGGGATTATCACTGAGATGGAAAAAGGCACAAAATGTTGTAAAAACAAACTATTGTATTATTAAAAAAAAAAAAGACTGTCAGAATGGGTCAAAAACAGCTCAACTATATCTTGTGTACCGGAAACCCAGTTTAAACATCTACATTTAAAGTAAACAGATGAAAAATTATACATCATGCTGACACTAATTAAAAGACAGCAGAAGTAGCTATATTTTTGATAGGTCTATAATTGTTTAATAAATAAAAATCAATGTTAACCTTTGTAAAAAAAACAAACAAAAAACACCTGATACAGGAGAGTTGCCCAAAAAAGAAAGCGCCAGGTTAAAATCCGGTATCTGGTGAATTCTATCAAAAAGCTAGAGAAGAAATTACACCAATTCTCTACAGTCTCTTTCAGAGAATGAAGCAGAGGGAATATTTACATCTAACTATTTACATCTAACACATCTATTTACATCTAACACATTACATGAGGTAAACATGCCCTAATACCAAAACAATACAAAGATACAAGAAAACTATAAAGTAGTATTTCCCATTTCTCAATTTGAAAAAGACTCACCAGAGAAAATCTGTAGCTAAGATCGTTTTTCAATGGTGAGAAATCCAAATGTTTCTCACTAAGATTAGGCACAAAGCAAGGATGCCCCCCTCATTATTTCTCTCCAGCATATACTGGAAGTTCTTGTTAATGATGTGGGCAAGAAAAAGAAATCTTGGGAAGGAAAAAAGAAAACTGTCTGTGTTTACATTACTTATGTAATGTGCATAATACATTGTATACAATACAATGGATTGTTACTTGTTGTATTATGTTATTATGATACATTTTTCCCTGTGCAAAAAAATCTGAAAGAACAGACAAGAAAACCTCCTGGATCTAGTAAGGAATTAAAGCAAGATTGTAGGGTACAAGATTAATATACAAAAGTCAATTACCTTCTGACATACCAGTAGTGAAAGAAAATGAAACTTGAAATTAAAAACATAATGCCATTGGAATTAGCACCCACAAAAGGGGAATAGGTACAAATCTAATCAAACAGACCAAATCTACATAAGAAAAACTACAAACTTCTGCTAAAACAAAGTCAGAGTTGAAATACATGGAGAGATTATACATTCATGGAAGGAAGACATAAGACTTAACACCAACAGGATTGAAATTCCTCAACCAAAATCCGGGAAGTTATTTTATGCACCTGGAAAATGCAATCCTAAAGCTTATATGGAGAGGCCAAGGACCCAGAGAGCAACACATATTGCTGAGGCCTGAAGCTGACCTGACTTCAGAACTTACTCAAGTCACAGTAATCAAAACAGGGTGGGGCAGGAGGGCCCTCCCCGGTGGCACAGGGTTACAGCACAGCAATAAGAAGCTCTCCGCAGCCACTGCAACATGAGTTCAATCCCCGGCCAGGGAGGTGACAAGGCGCAGCAAACCTCTCCTGTCTTCTTGTTGTTCTCCTCAGCAGTGGATCTCAGTAGATCCGCCTGTTCTGCCTCCCACTCTGTCTCTGATGAAGCCTCTCAGCCCCTGTACCTCTGGCCTGTATCCTAGTTTTTGTGTGCATAAATAAATAAATCTTTAAAAAAAAAAAAAACAGACCAAGAGATCCATGGGACAGAAGCGAGTGCTCAGAAATAAACTCCGTAACACCACCCC